ATGTAATAATATAATGCCAAATGTATACTTCCATTTGCAAATCATCTCGTTCAATAAGAGAAAGTAGTGCATTTTCTTGAAGTGATTTAAAATCTTTGGTGCCGAAATTTTATTTGGATTCTTTATCAAAAATCGTTGACTATTTTTGTAAATTTTGTAACTGATAATTTTTTGAAGCTTCTTCGATAGACACGTGCAGCTCTGAAGCAATAAGCATGGGTCCAAAAATAAATGATGTCTCTTGGATTTCTAATAAAACCATCCCTTTGAAGATATATACATAATTTAAATTAATTGTTCTGATATTATCTTTGTTTTTGCCAATTAATCACGAAATACAATGATCCATATCTTTAAACATTTTAATATGCTCGGTGAATCTCCGAGAAGCAATGCAAGTGTATCTGCTAAATACTTTTCTTTCTTTCAATTCACGGTTCTTCCAGCACAGATTCAGATGAATCAACGCAGGTTCTTGCAAAGTGTATTAGTTAATACTTTTCTTTCTTCGATCAAAAAAATTTTTACAATAAAAATCTAAAGGAATCAACGTGTTATTCATACGATTGCTTAAAGTTCGTTGCGATGTAGGGCCAAACCTTTTTAACAAAATGTTCTTGTAAATTACATTTGCTGGCGTTTTTACCCTTGTCCGAGATCATTATCGCTCATATATAAAAAATTAAGATTCAGCATATTGCTCTTAATAAATATACATCTATTAATGCTTTTATAATAAACCAATTCGTAACATCTTAATACCCACCATTTAGGAAATCCCAGATCTGAGAAGTAAGATAGCATATTCCGCTATTGCCATTGTAAAATCTGTACGAATATATCCTGCTTTACGAGTAAAATCCAAATCACTTGAGATATCTTTAAACGGTTTTAACTCAGTCTGCCAAGTAGGGTCGCGAAAATTTTGTACCAGCCATGTATATCTTCTGGGAAAGAGGCGCCATACACAAAATAGTCGAGCAGTGAAGGAAAATGCACTGCTGGTTACTATTATTCATATAATCCATATCAGGTTACAAATAGGTGATCCTCACGTGACTATAAAAATAAGGGCCCTTTATTCCTTTATAGTGCTGATTTAGTCACCATAACCCGTCGGCAGGGTTGACAATAACCAGCAGGTATCGAACCCATGACTGCTGGCAACAGTCACACGCTTCCACCACTTTACTATATCGGAATTAATTAAAATATAGTAAATCATTATTTATTTCTTCAATTGGGATCTTCGAATAATTTTTCTATTTTAGGCAAGTCGTGTCCAAGTTAATGTTACTTTTTTGATGCATTTAGGGATGTTGATTTATAAAAATATCAAGAATGTAATTTATGCAATATGCAGATCAACTTGTAATTGAACGCTCCCCCTTATTAACCGCAACCTCTGTGCAACGTGAAATTGAGGCCTTTTCAGAACATCGCCGGAATCACTTTTATTTTAATAAAAAAAATTACTGGTCAAATTTTACTATGCGATCGCATAATCAGTGTTGGCATGAAACAGTTGTGAATATGATTTGGACATTTGTGATCATTTTTTGGACAAATAAATTAAAATTACCCTTAATAAAAATATTTAGAATTATAAAAAATATATATTTGGATATTTTTTAAATTAAGGGTAGAGTACAACGTTGATTATTTTTATATATAAATAGTTGCAAATTTTTATCAGCTTTTTTTATATTTAAATTTTTGAAAAAATATTAAGTAAATAAATTTTAATCCTTATATAAAGGTTGTAGAGTAGGTCTTTCTGATTCTAATGATAATAAAATTATTAAAATTGGTTAAAACTCATCGAGATATGAGTTTTTAAACATTTGTCTATAAAACTATATAATATAGATTTACATAAATTAACCAATAAAATTAACAAATTTTGTACTACCTAGACAAATTTAATTGACCTAGGTAAACTTTATCATATATACAAGTATTTTTTTTTAAAATAATATAATAGTTCAAAATTTTTCATAATAGATAAATAATTTTATTTATAGTATGATAAAATTTTTTTATTAATTAATTAAAAAATAAAAAAGTTTTATTAGTAATATATTTTGTAGTTACTATATAAAATT